GGGCGAAACGAAATTTTGTGGGTCAGACCTTGAAATTCGTGAAAGCGCGTACATTCAATCGGGCCTATTGCCGGTCAAACGAGAGTGACAGTACGTGTGTGGGGGGCATTTCGCTTCTATTGCTTCTCACCGGGGGCGCCTCGTACATCCACACATTCGGGATGGATTCCCTTTCACTCGAAAATCTCATAAGTTCGCTTTTCCAAAGAGTGCACCACATAAAAATGAGGAACGAACGAAAAGCGGGAATAAATATAATGTGATGAGAGTTGGTAAAAGCAGTTTCTAACTTGAATTCAAAGAATTCAAATGGGAGAACGAGGGCACGCCTTCCAAGTTGTACACATGAGTGATTACAAAACTCTCCCGCAGCTATTCATTCGAAATGCTCTTTCCCCTACTCTTCTTGCCCCCACATTAAATTTCGCGGCTCAATATTGTACAACACTTTTTTGTACACTTTCAGTCTGACTCAAAAGCCTACAATTTTTACCTTCGCTCCCTCCCCACAACAAAAATCGAGATATACAATTATTTTTCGTTTCGCTTTTTTTTGATTAGATACACATTCACACTGCCTTCATTTCCTCTGCTCTTCGTTGCTATGAACATCTTCATTTCCTATATACCACACTATACGATTGTTAGGTACAAAAAAAACTAGGTAGAGATATTATTGCTCCTCCCCTTGAGAGTTTACCATACTACTACAATCTGAAAATATATTTTTAAACCCCTCTTCCCAGTCTCCCACCCATTACTTCAAACCGTATGTTGCTCTTCTCCTTCTTCTTCTTTTACATCTCCATATGTATATATGTAACTGACCTTCCATGTTCCCCTCTCTGCTTCATTATTCTTATTCTCCAGTTGCTCCTAATACTGATTAATGCGCCCTCTTTCCAGTGACATGGACGTTGCGGACTCAACCTCTGAGACGCCACCTGTCTTCGATCATAAGAACTTGGCCCTCGTAGCTCAGACTAATTTGCTACAGTTCTATCTGACACATTTGGCAACTACGTTTGCTCCCGCTCTTAAAATGGACATGCGGGAATCTATTACTCCCAGGTATTATTAGAAAATTCACTAAAAAATCAAATTTTTGTTTCAGTTTCAGCCTTCCAGAGAGTCCAAACTCTGATACAGATGATTCAGCATCTGCTGCGCTTGTTTCTTCAACCAAAGCACTTTTCACGCTTCTCGGTGGATCTCCAACAACCACCGACAGTACTGTAGTGGTGAGTCGGCAAAAACGATGATGCACAAAGAGCATTATTAGGGGGAGAGGGGAGCAAAAGAAGAGGTGGAAATCCAAACATTTTAGAACGGTACAACTAAAAAATCCAGCGCCACCAGCAAACTTTGTTCGGTATGTGCTGATAAATCAACTGGACTGCATTACGGCGCTTCAACATGTGAAGGGTAAGCATTTTTAGCATGTGTACGTATAATTACTGGTTCACCTAACCTTTTAGTTTGATGTCTGAGCATTAGTCTAGATTTTTCTTTTAAAGCTTTCTGGTTTCAATTCTCAAACAGTTTTCTTTTCCTCCCAAAATAGCTGGGTGGTCAGAAATCTGTTCCACACGCAAAAACTGTCTGGACGACGGTCAACGGGAGCTATTAACGGAATTAGTGATCGGATCGGGAAAGCGAAAGTGGTGCTAGATGGGGGAGAGGAACAGTGAAAGTTCAGCCGTCAGCACCGTCCGTGTCGTCTCGTAGTAGACAGCCGTCGGCACCAGGATCGTCAGAAAGACGAGACCATGCGGCCTTCAGGATCTTCCATGATGGTCAAGGCCTGCAGCATGACACGACACACCGCCGAACACCCAGTCAGTGAAATGTTGCGAAGGGCGTCCTCCTATCCAAATGTGTCACGCACCTTTGACCAGTCTCAGTACATCCCTCCCAAACACTTGGTCAACCTCAGTTTGACCCCATCACTCCCGTGTTGAAAGTCGGTGTGGAAGTGCACTTTAAATCGGTTTAAATGAGGAGTTTCTCTAGGTCACACGCACCAAATGAAGATGTTTCTTTTTTAATGGGAATGATATTGAAATGTGGATTGACCTATTCAGTATCCAGTCTAAATTGCGGTTTTATGAGTCAGAGAACATGAAATTTCAAAGCATACTTAACTTCATGTTTTAATATTATAGAATCTATCAGTAATAGTTTTCAACCTAATTATCCAGTTAGCCTTCTACTGTAACCATTTTTCCTGACTGAAGAAATTGGACTCAAAAAGTTTAGGCTTTTTATGAAAATTCAACATTTCGGGAAGGAATTCTACAAATCCAATAATCTAGCGAAATTCTGGAAAATTCAGGAATTTCGAAATTTCGAACCTTGAAATTTTCTTGAAGCACTTGAAAAAATAATTACGGTAGCTGCAAATCAAGGAATTGAAAACCAAAAATCATTTTCCGATTCTAAGTTTTGTAATATTAGACACTCAAACCATCAATTTTGAGCCCAATTATCTCGATTTCTGTAAAAGATATCAAACATAAGTCAACTAATAAGTTAATTCTTATAATATCACCAACATTTTATCAGTTGACATATTTTTGATATCTTTCACACAAATCGAGATAATTGAGCTCAAAAGACACGTATCGGGTTTACTGGTCATATTCTTATTGGAAGAAAAAAAAACAAATAATCTTTGAGCTTAATTATCTCCATTCCTGTAAAAGATATCTAAAATTTATCAACTGACAAATTAGTCATCAAAAAATCACTAATATTTTATCAGTTGACAATATTTTGACATCTTCTATAGGAACCAAGATAATTGAGCATAAAGTTAACAGTTTAGGGACCCTTCTATTCCGGGTTTTGTGATATTTTAAAAATCAATAACGAAACAATTCTCTTTGTTTGTATGAAATAAAGAAAAAAAAAATTAAAAAGTCCGTATATGTGATCACAAAATTTCCTTTGGCTTTTAGTTTTTTTTTAATTGCATTAGAGTAATATAAAAAAATTTTTTTTCTGAAAAGAAACTTCACAAAATGTTTTTGAATCTCCGAACTTGATTTTCACTTTTTCCCATGATAAATTGGTCTATCAAGCTGCTTATAATTGACTACCCCCAATTAGATACGTATTCACAATATTTCACAGCCATCTCTATCTGAGGAATTTGTAAATGACCTTTCCTATTTATTGATACAGATAAGACACATTTTTCTCTTCATTTCAAAATAAAAAATGTCTAAAAAACGGATAAACGTCCTTTTGCGGAAAAGATAGCTATCTTGGTGTACCACACGGTACTCAAAGTGCAGAGGACAATTCCAAAGTAGTTCAGATTTCCGAGTGAGATAATCTCAAGACGAACGTAGGTGGTCTCTTCGATAGAAAAAAAGTTTTGAGGCTAGATTTTCCGAGAGATACTGAACAAGAACCAGAATTTCGGTCACTTTGGAATACTCGTTTTTTGTTGTCATTCGGTTTTCTCAGTATCAATCAACCTATCACTTGTTCGAATGTGACATCTCTCTTAGTAACTATTGTCTCCGGTACCGAGGAGGGGGAAAAGTCGGAGGTCAACTCGGACAAGGTTTTGTTAGTGGGAGACGAATTGCGTTGTCGGACAAGGTCGGTTCAACTGGTGCCATCTGCGTAACCTCTTCTCGTCACCTCCATTTTCTCCGGAGGGCCGCGCGCTCCGCCCCAATATTACTCTGTAGCCCACTTTTTCTCAATTCATTGATGACCGCGACCCAATTTGAAATTATTTCAATATGTATGTTCTTCAGTTAGGTTTTCTTTTTTTAGTGTGGACAGTTCGGGGTTTCGAGGTTTGAATAGTCAATTATAATAGCTCCAATTAGAAAAGCTCAAATTATAGATTTTTCAACAAAATGATTCCAATTAGTCAATTCAGTTGAAAGTACCGTGAACACTTTCATAGAATTATCCTTATTTGGGCACATTATCTTGGTTTCTATGCAAGTCATAATATCACCAACATTTTGTTTATTGGCAAATTTTCGATATTTTTCGCCTAAAGTGAGATAATTGAGCTCGAAGTGCAAGTAACTTCAGAGTGTTTACCGTAGTTCATGAAGGAAGCTTGAAATATTTTTGTTTGAGTTTCCAGGAATGAACAATTACTCTTCCTCATTCTCTCGAAAATTCAGTTCTTGACACTTTACTAATTTTAATCAGGAATTTTAAGAATATTTTCGAAGCTGAGAAGTGAGAAAGAACTGACCGTCACTTTCTCATAAATAACATAAAATTGTTAGCACGTGCTTGATGATTGTAACCTAAACGTTTCACCACAAGTTCACACTGTTTCAGCGTCTCCATCTTAATTTTTCATTTTCATACAATTGTAGAAAAAAGTTATGACAGACAGAAAATGTGGGTAGGTTGCAAGGGCATCTTAAAGAACAAGGTCACTCAAAGAGACCCCAAGGAAACGTTTCTGTTGCTGCCTCTTTTTTTTGCGCATTTCACTTTACTATCATTTTAACCCACCACGTCCTCCTCACCCCATTTTTTTCCGTCCTTCTCCTTCTGGTTCTTCTTCTAGTCATTTTCTACAGGCCCCTTTCGCACGTTGTCTAAAAATTTTTTTTGTTTTCCTTCTACTACTTTTTCCGACTTCGATTCTAGTTTCCACATTTTTCCCCTATTGTCGAATGTCAACAACTATCCCTGCCGTTTCTGATCGACAATTAAATTGAGTAATATACCATATGCTCCGAACACCTGCTCCTACTGATGTAACCTTGGCGATTAGGGCAATAAATCGGTGACAGCACCATTATCGCGTTGTCTCCTCACTTTTCAAATCGACCTAAAATATTCTGACAATTGTATGAAAATGAAGGTTTTGGTTGTTCCAGGTGCAAAGGATTCTTCAAGCGATCTGTTCAAAACAAGAAGGTCTATCACTGCAGTCAGGACAACTGTTGTGAGATTGACAAGCAGAATCGGAACAGGTAAATTCGAAAAAAAATCGACCCTTCAACCCGCAATAAAAAACTCTTAATTGACCTTCCAGGTGTCAATCGTGTCGTTTCCGAAAGTGCATCAGCAAGGGCATGCTAACCGAAGGTTAGTTTTTTTTTTCGCTGCGCCCCCTCTGACCGCAAAAATTTTCTTCTCATTTGTAGCAGTAAGAGAAGATCGTATGCCCGGTGGAAGAAACGGGAACAGTATCTACAGCAACTACAAGCAGAGGAGAAGTATCATCCGGAAAACGAGAGATTACGTTGAAGAAATAGAGAGACGACCGTTCCAGAGTCTTCCGAGTGGCAAGAAATTGATTAAAGTGAGTTTTCAAACTTCCCAAAGTTAATTGAAGCTATTGCCAATTTTTACTGTTTTAGGAGTTGGTAGAAATGGACTGCTTAGATCGTCTGATCAATCTAAAAGGACTCCGAATCAATCCAGCATCGGCAAGCAGTGATATTGCTCCAGCGTGCAAAAGACTAACTAGAATTGGTTTGTTCTTCCATGTCCCTTGAATCCTAACTTTTCATTTTCAGGTGATGAAATTGTGGAACAACTTGTGGAGTGGACAAAAACCCTTCCATTTTTCGATGAGTTACCTGTAGAAGCCCATACACATCTCTTGACACAACGCTGGGCTGAGCTTGTTCTCCTGTCTGCTGGATACTATGCCTGCTCAGTTTTCACTCCAGATTCTCCAGATACTACAGAAATGATTGATGAAACTGATGAGATATCATTCACAAATCCACAAGTTAACCTTCGCCTACTACAAAATCGATTGGCGTTGGTGCTTGGGAAAGAAATTCCGTTCGAGCATGTGTCTAAGTGAGTTGACCTCTCAATTTGTCAATGATTTAGAACTAACCTTGTTCTTTTTTCTAGGGAAGCTGGTACGCTTGTCCACCGTTTCACCACTCTCCTCAACTCGTTCTCCAACCTCAAGGTCTCTCCAGAAGCGTACGTCTGTATCAAGGCTATCACCCTACTCCACCTTTCGCCCGATTCAACTCTAGACCGAACTATCATTGACAAGGTCAACACCCTTCAGGATCACTTTGTCAAGACGTTACAAATTCATTTGCATCAGCCGGGAGAGGATTCGCAGCAGACGACGAGTTTGGCGCAGATTCTTGAATGGTTCGTTTTTCGGAATGGGAATATCCAGTAAAACAAAACTAAAAATAAAACAACATTTTAAATATTAAATCGAGAAGTAGTCAGATAAGAAAAAAGTGTTCAATTATCTCGGTTCTTATGAAAGATATCAAAAAACAACTGATAAAATGTTAGTGATATTTGGATAAATAATTTATCAGTTGTAAAATGTTTGATATCTTTTAAAGGTACCAAGATAATTGAGCTGAAAGTGCACATATATGAAAGGCTTCTATTAGAGCAAATACGATAGCTACTTTTTGGAAAATTCAACTTTCAAGGTCAGACACCAGTCTTCGAGTCACTTTTATCCGGCTCCTCTGAATGGTTCCAAAAATTGAAAACTCATGAAACTTTATTTTAAAAAATCATTTCATTAATCAAGTATTTTCCGAAAATAATTGACGGTAAAACCTGTAATACGAGCCCCACACTATCAAATTTGAACTGATTTATCTTGGTTCCTGTGAAAGATATCAAAACGGTGTCAACTGATAAAATGTTTGTGATATTATGCTAAACAATTTATCAGCTGGCAACGTTTTTATATCTTTGACAGGAACCGAGAAAAATTGGCACAAAGTTAAAAGTTAGAGGTCCTCTCATTACCGGTTTACGGTAGTTTGATCCTTCAACGAAATTTTCAGCAATTTTTGTATGTTTCAGAATTCAATTTAAACAAAAACTACAGTACACTAGCTATTATTCTCAACAATATTAAAATCATTTTTCAGGCTCCCAGAGCTCCGAAACGCCTCATCCGTACTACTCCACTCCAAAATGTTCTACGTACCATTCCTTCTCTGCAAGAATCCTAGACGCCTAGTGTTCGACGAGTAGCTCTTCATTTATCCGATTTTCAGCTTTACTTCTCGGTTGTGCAATATAATTTAGTTCTTTATAAATTCATTTTTCTCCTATGTTCTGCCTGTCCTATCCTAGAAACCAAATATATTTTCAGCATAATTTTTTAAAAACTTTTTCTATCCCTCCCCCTGTCTGATCTAACTCCCATAACATAGACGAGTGATTGGAAACATTATCAAAAATTAAATTATGATTTTGGATCCTACGGTAGTTTTCTTCTTTTCCTCTCTTTCTTCTCGGATACTTTGATTAACAGATGTTTGTGAATAATTTGTGCAATTCGTGATTTCTTTGTAATTTCCATCTCATTTCCTGTCCTTTTTCTCTATGTTTCTCTTTCTCTCTCATTTTATAAATGTGTAGTCTTTTGATTTTCGGCTTTTCTTTCCCAAATAATAAACTTTATTGATTCCAAAAAAATATATATACACCATTCGAATACAAAAAGTTATACATAAACAAGAATTTATGTCTAAAAAACTGCATCGATCCCAGATATCCCAGTTGTGTAGGTTGAATTATTCGAGTGCCGAACGTCCACTGAAAAGTAAAGATTTAAAAAAAAAAACAAGAATTTTACATTGAATCTTAAATGAGAATCCGGGATCATTCCTGGAATCTCTAAAAAGATTTCAAAAAGTTGAAAACGATGAAACATTTACGTCAAAAGTTGAACACGCGGAGTGAGCATTGGCGATTGATGAGAAGTGCGAGAAGCATGAGCCAGGCGATCGGCCAAGAATGAAGAGAGAAGCATCCAGGCTCTTCCGATGTCCCTGTGACGACGTCCCGGTCCGTTGTACTCGCTAGCGACGCTCATCAGAGCCTCGGCGAACTTCTCCCAGTGTGGTCCACTGGAAAAAATATTTTCATGATTACATCATAATCGGCAAGTGCAACATCCGGTTGTTGATAGGATTGCGATTAAAAAGCTGAAACTCACGTGATTCTGAAGTTGGAGTGTCCGCGGCCAAGAAGCTCAACCAATGGCTTGAGTCCCTCCTCCAAGTTGTCTAGTTTACCGACGCAGGATTGAACCAGCTCGACGATATACTTAATGTGACGTTGCTCGGTTTCCTGGTTTGGGAAAATCAGTTGAGGAGCATGGCACGCACGGAAGAATGCAGTGAGAACCGATTTTGCAAACTGCCACTTTGGAATGCGGTTCCATGATTGCCTAAAATTTGTAGCTTTAACATCGAAAGTTCAGCTTTAGCATCAAAAGCTACATTTAGGATCATACTGTCAACACTTTAATTGAAATTCAACTTATACCTGCAGTTTGAGCTCAATTATTTCAACTTCTAAATGAATTATCAAAAATCTGTCAACTGATACAATTTTTATCACAATTTTATTAACATTTTCTTATTTGACACATTTTTCATATCTTTCATAGAAATTGAGGTAATCGAGCTCCAAGTATATGTATAGGATGGCCTTCTATCAATCCAATGATCACGGTAGTTATGTTGTCTGAATTATTTTCTAGTGGAAAACTGCTGAAAATTCAGTGCAAACAACCAAAACTAGCATCTGCACTTGGAGCTCAATTATCTCGATTTTGATAAAATACATCAAAATATGACAATAGATAAAATGTTTCTCGTAATATCACCAACATTTTATCAGTTGACACATTTTTATTATCTTTTCCAGGAATTGAGGTAGTTGAGCTCATAGTGCGTGTATAGGGTAGTTCTCTATCAGAGTATTTCTTATTATGGATACATGAGTGATCTCTCAAGCATTGAATTTTTGATCATTGGTTTATTTTTAGTCCCCAGGAGGTCTTTATTTTAAGTTATGTATAGTGTAGTTGCTATACAAAATCTAGCTCATTCAATTTCATTCTTTCAACTTAATCCGAGGACCACACCTCAGAATCTTACTTTATAATCTAAATTCCCAGTCTACCTCACCTAATAATTATACTAATCCCTTCCCTCCGAAAGATGGGAGTATATTCCTCTTACCTGATGAGTCTCTGCTGCTCCGGAACCAGATTCAAAACTCGGTGAGTAGCTGGAGAAGCGCTGCGACAGCGTCTCAATGGTCGTGGAGCCTGAAGGCCATTTGGAGAAAGACCCGACATGCTCGAGCTGTGCTGAAAAACTGAAGGTTAAGAAGGAGAAGGGAAGATGGAGCGGCCGCTCTTGGCCGTGCAAATTTATGAAAATGAAAAGAGGCGGGCAGAACATTTGGGGGCCGAGACGGGCGAATGGTTGCTCACGGAGATGCGACGAAACCAGGCAACATATGAAAAATGACAGGGCGCATCCACATCATGCGCTTTTAATTTGAAAAGAAGAGAAGGATCTTGAGTCCTTTTCGGCGAAGTTTTTGTCTGAGGAAAGGGGAAAATGACGTTTGGACCAGCGAAGGACACGTCGAAAATGACGTTTGGACCATCGAAGGACACGTCGACGGAAGCCAGGCCCACGAAGGTATTGAACTTCTTAATAAGAAATGAGCTCTTCTGATATAGTGTTTCTGGGAAAGGGTATGAATGCCAAGTTGTTTAATCCAAACAGTGAAAGTTACAATATTGGAAATGGGCCGGGGAATTTTAGGAACGAATCAAAACGACATTTGAGAAAAATCTTTGAGTTTTTCAGACTAAAATAAAGTGATAATCCAAGCATTTTTAGTAGACAGAAAAACATAATTAGAGTGCGATTCGAAATTCGGGAATCTGTCCACTAATTGATTGTTCTTCATAACTTGTACATTGACACAAACAACTTTCAGAAATGATGGAGCATTTAGCAATTTGAAAGTTATTAGGGACGCTGATAATTTTTTAATCATTTTTGCGGTTGTCAGACGTACCAAGAACAAACACTTTTCTAAAATCTTATAGCAAACTTGCTTTTTCTAAATACATTAAAAAGCCTGAAGCAAGCTTACCTCAGAAAAAAGAATAGAGAAAGTTAATTTATTCATTCTAGAGAATGTAGATGCTTAGAAGATGATAAAAACTCATATTTGTCAAATTCCGGGACGACCCGGTGACACGGCCCACCCCCGGCCGGGCAGGGTCAAAAAAATTCTTCCGGCCCGGGTAGCTGATTAAAGAAAAATAAAAATTCTCAAAAAAAACTTCCTAAGATTATTCGCTCTTACAAAAGGATCAGAACTTCGATATTTATTGAAAATTCAGCGAAAATTTCGAAATTTTTCAAAAAACTTCAGAATTTCGAAATTGCAGAAGCTGACCCGGGGCGGGCCGGAAAATTTTTTTATTTGATCCTGCCTGGCCCAAGAATCCCTAGAACCCGAAAAATTTGATATAATTTAAAGAAAAAGTCAAGAAATAATCAGGAAACCGTTTTTTTTTGGTTGATGCGACCTGATCGATATTTTCCTCTCGCAAACGATCTATCAAATATCCTTATCATGAACTCAAATTAGTGATTAATTCATGATGTCAACATCACCCCATCGAAGTTGGTAGAAAATAAATGTAAACAGAGCCATCGTTTTCATTTTCGCCTTTCCTTCTAAAAAGGATTTTTCAAGATATCTATCGGTGAATAGAGAATATGTAAAAAGAAAGAGCAAAAAGGACGAGAAAATGAGGGGAAAACGAAAATGAGTGATTCATGAAGTCGACGAGAGCCACCAGAAGAAGCATTAACAAATTCCCCCCGCTCCTTACCTGATCATCATCCAACGACATTGCGGAGAACGAGAGAGAATCCGAGGCGTCTTCGATTTCGTGATGGAGCATGTTATCTTTTATGGAGATGGATGCTGAGAGTTCTGAAAATCAAGGTAGTCAGGAAATGAGTTAGTGGATTTGTATTTTTGAGGAATACCAAAAAATAAGAAGACACGAATGGCATAAAAATTAAAGAACAGGTCCGAAAAAAAGGAAAAAAGAAAGAGAAACGAGAAAGTGGAGTCAAATTGATGAATGACGATAGATGGTAAAAGAAAAGAGCACTTTGTGTCTCATTAACAAGGGACCGCATCAAGAAAACAAGAAAAATTCCAAGAAGACAAAGTGGTTTTGGTTTCGAAGCAAATCGTCAAAGATGGGTCGAGAAGAGCAAGAAGAGTGAGTGAGACAAATTAGCTTCTCATTTTTCATGAGTGGTAAGAGCTTCTTACTAAGAGGTAATAGATGCAGTTTCTTCTTTGACGCAAAACGTCGTTTTTATGAGATTGATATTTGAATCCAAAGAGAGTGAGGAAGAAAATTATTTGGAGCAGCAAAAAAAGGAAAAACGAAAATTGTAGGAAAATGTTGCTATGGGAATTTCGGAAAAAGGAGCTGGAAAAGGTAGAGAAATGGAAGCTATTCCTGCATGATCAATGTGACCAGAATACATGAATACCTGGAAATTGGCTGGCAAAAATAAAGAGAAGAAAATTGGTTGACCCGAAAACCACCGTAAAAACTGTAATAGAAGGGCCCCCACATTATCAAGTTTGAGCTCATTTATCTTAGCTCATTTGCAAAATATCAAACAAGTTTAACTGATGGAAATTTTGTGATAAAATGATAAACATTTTATTAGTTGACAATTTTTTTCCTATCTTTAACAATGCCTTGAAATTCGAAGTTAAAGATCAAAGTGTCCGGAGTCCTTCTATTACAGGTTTCACAGCGTTTTATAAATAAAGCATAAAAAATGAGTAAAGCTAGGAAAAAAATTACGGAGAGCACTTGAATCTGGCACACTCATAAAAATATGCCGGAGCAATTTTTCCATCAACTTACTTTTACATAATTCCCACGGGACTCACAAATTGTACTACAGGGATAAGTTGGGCAGCTCAGGAGTTTTTCTTCAAATGAATGTTCCTCCAAATCAGAGAAAATCGCGGGAAATTTGGAAAATATAATAAAAAAGATCGGAACGTTTGAGACCATATTGCTATCTTCAATGAATAAGTAAAAATGAGACTAACGAGGTTCTCAACATAGTAGTGGACCACATGAGAATGCCTGAAGAAAACAAGGAATACATTCATTTAATTGAATTAAAGCATCTCCTCTCTCTTTTTCTGTGTTGCTCTTCCACGTTGTCAACGGTTCTTTGTATCAACTGACACTTGTGCCGCAGGAACTGGGTAATGACAATGTCTTGTTCAGATTCTATTAGCATTCGTGGTTTGATGAAGCCAGTGAGATTGAAATTAAAAAATGGGTGGTCAGGTGAAAATTTCAGATTTTCAAACCCTTGTTCGAAATTTGATATAAAACCAATTATGTCGAAAAACAAAAATTTATATTCTCTCAAAACTTCGCGGAATAATGTTCTAACTAAAATCGAGAGTGTATAAGTAAATGAATAAAGAGAGATCCAAGTTGCACTTGAGTTTGGGCTGGATAAGGAAGACTGGATGGACTAATTACGACAGCTCACGCCATATATTCATCATATAAAAGATTAATCATTCTAAAATGTCATTTCTTTTTACTTGTGTTGCACTTTCTTAAATTATTTTCTGAGAAAAGACTGTTGCTTTCAATCATTCCAGAGCTGTGGATTTTCAAAGCGATTTTTCTTATTTGGTGTCTAAATGAATTTGAATCGAAAATTCTTTTTAATTTCGGGATAAATCTATCCGAGTTATTTTGTCATTTGTTCCCTATTGTTTATTATCTTAATACTCTCAACAGATTTTTTTTCTTTTCCATAGAAACAGGAATGGAGTCTTTTTTTTCAGTTAAACTCCGCCATAAAACTTCTAGAAAGTCTGAATCTAATAAATCTAAAACTTTTTTTTTTAGGTTTCTTATTTGCCACTGTCTGGCGAAGATAAAATCTCAGCCGTAAATTATTTTTTTTTCGAGAATCAGAAGAAGACTCGGAGTTTCAGATCCACGTCATTTTTTTGAATTTTCAAATCAACTTGAATGTTTAGTGTTCCGTTCTACTGTTTTCTCGAATGAATAAAGATGTAGGTGCAATCTGAAACGGACTTTTCAAAGGTGTTACCAACTATGCTTAGAAATATTAGGTTGGAAGGAAAATAACTGTCCATTTTTCAATTCACGAATAATACACAAAACAAGAATCACCCAAGATTGAAAGTATGCACCGTCGTGGTCCACGACATGCTGACAACAGCCACGTTCCTTAAACTCCAGACTTCGCAATTTTATTATTGGATTTTCGGAAATATGCAACGTCATCTGGAGGGAAAATAATTTTACACAGTCGATGAGATAAAATCTAGACTGAAAAAATACTTTGATTCGCGGCCAGCTGGATTTTGGAGGGATGACATCCACAAGTTACCTGAATGTTTTCAGCAAGTCGTGAACCACAACGGTGCATACTGTCAATCTTGGATTGATCTCGATTTTGTATGATTTACAAATGAAGCAATGGACAGTTACTTTCCTTCCAACCTATTATTTGAAGTGAAACTTCTAGGGCTGAACGAAATTTTCGGTTAGATCACGATTTTTAAAATTGGAACGTATTTTCGAAGCTTTCGAGATTTTCTAGAAAGTACGAATTTTGTTATTAAAGATTTTTTTTACGAAATTTCCATTTTTCGGTTTTTAGATCCGAAAAGGTCCAATTTTTTTTTCGATGGCCAACCGGGAAAACGAAAAAAAAATGTTTCAGCCTCCAAAATTCAAATCGACGTTCGTAATTTTGATGATGAGTGACTTGATTTCGTGCCGTTTTTCCTTCTAGCCCTAAATTTTCCATCCCTATTTTTAATTCTCATATTTTCTAACCCTAGTCTTATCCGTTTTTTCGAGTGGAAATAGTCAGTGACAAATTCCGATTTCCAAACTTTCGAACAAAGTTTTTATGCAAACTTCTACTATACGAAATTAATTTGTCTAACTTGAAATGAGCCAACTTTTTTTCGAAAAAAAAGTTCTCCTAAATTTCGGGTTTTCAATCTAGAAATTCAATCTCAATAAAATTTGCCACCACATTCGTATAGCTTTATGTTTCTAATCGTTGGTGACTGATGTTCTGTCCCTAGATTTGTTCGAAATAACCAACTATAAAAATCTGAACAGTATAGTAGTTTTGTCGGATAGGAGTAAAGATTTTCAGTTCTACTAACTAGGTAAAAAAACTTCAATTCGTTATTCTTTGAGAAAGATTACGGTGTTCTTTATTGAAAGCAGTTCTAGTTCATTTTCTTTTGAACGCTATGTTATCTAAGTCTGAACAGTAGAGACCCAAAAAATTTTCCAATACTTCAGCTCAGGATTTCATAATATTTTTTCTGGCAGACGTAGTAATAGTGTTTGAGAGAATAAGGTTAACTAATACCCTAGAGAGACCATTCATATGATTTTTAACATTGGTTTCTAATTCTGGAAACTTCCATAAAACCTTTATCTTTCTAACTTTCACGTCAGTGGCATCACTTCGTGTCAACAATGACAAAAAATCGTCATCCAATTAACAATCGACGTTTTAAGAATGAAGTATGAATGCTCATTTTTGCTAGGCGAATAACTCATATGACTACGGAAATCTACTTCCGGATCTAGACCTTTCTGAAAATTAATTTTGAAATTAACTTTTAGTGATAAGTCACAGGAGTTGAAAGATTCTGATTATTCTATTGTTTTTCGCCCTTCATTACAATAGGAAAGGAACTTGTCATTCAAAATGATAAATTTTCAAATCTCAGATCTTCTAACCGTTGTGATAGTTCGTCACCAAATAATTTTCTTATCCAGAAAACTTCATTCAACGCATCTTCCGTTCAAGAACAAACTCAGTGTGTCGCTGACAGAATGACGGACCAAGAACAACGTCAGGCAACTTATTACAACGTATGAAATGCTTTTCGGATGAATCAATAACCCCATTTTTTTCAGGCAATGGCCACCTCGAGAAAATTGCTCAACGCATGGGCATTGTCTACAATGAAAACGTGAGTGTGTTATTTTTGAAAACCGTAATTAATTCATTTTAGATCATGAACTGCTCCGTCTATGCGTTCCAAGCTCGTAAAACAATCGATGAGCCAGATTTTCGAGTGATGGGCCATCTAACAGAGCTCGGCAATGTAAAGAAACTATCTCCATCACTTTTTTTCGAAATTAAGTTCTTTTTTTATCCAGACCGTCACGATACTAGCCTAATGAACATGATTTGCAATTTCTTGCCACATGTGAGTAAAATATTCCAACGTATTATTTTATTCAAAAATTTTTTTTCAGGAGGCCGAAGCTGTCCGAATCTTTGTGTCTTTCTCCGCAGTCAACGCTGTCCGAAATGAGGCCTTGAACTGCCCATTCTTGCAGGAATTGAACCATCCTGAGGTGCCGATAAATTTTGAGGAACTTCAAAATAAGAGTTTTTTCAGTTGATGAGAGCTGTGCGAACCTACTTCACCATTGCGACAGAAATGGGAAAACGACCATACGTAAGTGAAACTTTGAAACTGTTCATTCTAAAATTGTTTTGCAGTACGCACAGACAAATTATGACAACTTCGTACGAAATGAAGATCCCGTTCACCCATCATTTCGGGTTCTCTTCGTCAGAAAGCCACCAATCGCCAGAGAAAATAATGACGTTCAGGAAAATGTCCATCAAAAAAATTCTTGCATGTGCAATATTATGTGAGCAAGTGGATTGCTGGACTAAAACATCAAGACATGTTCTTCTATCCGGTATATACATTTATCTTCGCTATTTTCGGAAAAGTTAACTTTCTCAGTTTGTAAAAAATTACTGAAAATTTGTATTTATTTGTAAAATGTAAATGTACTAACATTTGTACTAACAGAGTCCTCACAATGTCAACTTTAGCCCAATTTGTTTGTAATCCTTCGATACAGGAACAGAAAAAAAATTGGCTCAATAGTGGAAGTAGTTTGAACCCTTTTACTACAAACTTAATGGTATGAGCGTGGGAAAAATCATTTATTTGTGTAAAATTTTCTGTTTCAAATAATAAAAGTTATTGCAAAAGTTGGTGAAACATTTAGGCGATTTTGGACTTTACAGATATGGACCAGATTTCAGCTTGATTCGACAATTTTGAATATGTTTCAGAGTCTTCGGAAGTTGCCATTCACATTTTGCAATTCGGAAAATTTTCATTTTTGTTTCAATTTTGATAAAAATTACTATTCAAAAAATTGATCAGGAATGAGGCAAAATAGGGATGTGGAATGCCACTTCAGGACCGAATAACCTTTAAAATCGTGAAGATATGATGGTTGTAGCGAAATTGGAGAGTTTTGTGATTTGTCCTTTGCCACGTATAGCTCTTTCTAGACATATCAAGGACTCGGACATGTCCAGCCTTTTTGAGCTGAAAACTTTCAGAAAATTTGTTTGAATTGCCCAGATCAAACTCACTGAAATTAGTTTTGATCCATGAAAATGGGTGGTTCCACATGTTTCGAGCGTGTTGGGGTTTCCCACCCTCCCTCCAGAAATCATCATCAGCAAAAAAGGATGTTCTATTCTTCTCTTTCGCTGTCCTCCAGTGAACCTAACCCACACTTTCATCATTTTCGTATTGACTCGGGCGGTATGGGATACGGAACGATCCATCGGCCAGTCTCTCGAGAGATGGTACGGGTTGAAGGGTCCCAAATCTCCTCCGAGAAGATTACATTTTCCCTTATCCATTTCGAATGCGGAACGATCCATCGGCACTTTTCTCGATTTTTTCTTTTTGATACCTTCCAGCCATCCTAACCCATACCACAGCAACACTCACTCATCATATTTGTATTGGTTTGGGCGGCATGGGTTCCGGAACGATCCATCGGCCAGTCTCGCTGGAGTCGGTTCGGTTTGAACGATTCCTAAATTCCTCCAAGAAGATTCATTATCCATTTTGAATGCGGAACGATCTATCGGCCAGTCTCACGAAAGAAAGCACACACTGGATGAAGCACACACTGACCGATGAAGCACACACTGACCAATAACTGGCCTTCACTTTTCTGGGAATCAGGTGTTTGTTTCCTGGCCGGCATGCACCCGAAAATTCCTCGGCGAAGATTCGATTCTCCATTCTCCATTTCGAATGCGGAACGATCCATCGGCACGTCTTTCGAGAGATGTTTCTTTTTGGACATAAGTTCCCCAATAACTGGGCTTCACTTTTCTCGGAATCAGGTGTTTGTTTCCTGGCCGGCATGCATTCCAATTGGCCAGGTCTATCCAGGTAGAAATTTTCATCCGAATGCCTTTTTCGTTGTTCGAGGCTCCTGAAAACAACCAAATTGTTCATTAGTCACTTGAAAAGCAAAACTCACAAAAAATCCTTTGACTCCTTCAATCCCAGCTCTATCCTTCTCCGAAGTCGAGTTTTGTTAGGTTCACTTTACGAGCCTAGAGGAAGAACGATGTGTATTTCATTCTTTCTCTATTTCGGATCATAGATATATCCGTATTCGTCTCCCAGTATCTTTATTCTCCAGTGAGATCAGACTTCTGAAAAATAAAAAAGAATTCTGGACGAACAAAGAATAAAGGAAGCATGAAAGTGTACGGACAAACGTCTCGAAACACGAAAAATCCTAATTAAGAATAGTGTCATTTGTTTTCTGTTTTGATGATAAACCAAATGGAAAAAATTATTTCAAACGATACGCCGCCCCATTTAACCCCTTGATCAATATAATTTTCTAAAAACGTCGCAAATGAAAGATAGGCAAAAATAAAGAAAAAATAAGAACGAAAAGTCGAACAACAATTAAAAAATGGCACCCCGCCTTTAGATCAAAACTTGCAGATCAAAATTTATAGATCAAAACTTGTAGGTCAAAAACTTTTGTTGAAATAATGTTGTTTTCAAGGATTTATGTGTTTGGTTTTAAGATAAAATATTGTTTAAAAATGATACATTTGAACAATTTTTATTAAAAATCTGATTTTGGACTAAATATTGGACATATGTATCCTGTGAATACGTGGTGAACTCATGAAAAGGAAGATGAAAATTGCGCTTAATTTTCAAAATTTTTGAGACTGCAGTAGTTTTACGCGTTTGAACGATTGTTAATTGTATTTTACATAAAAGTCTATGTCAGCCGAATTTGACGATTTCAAAAATGTTTTTAAACTTTTTTTAGAGTTGTTGTTTATTTTAAACAACTACGAAAGGTTCATTAGTTATTTGAGCAATGTTAAGACTGATATCCTTATTCAATAATAATCGAAGTATCCGAATTTTAAAATTGGTTCAGTATAAAGCCACAACTCTTTCCAGACGCTTATTATGTTTCACAATAGTTGCAGCAAGACTTCGAAGTGATTCCAAATTTCCACTCTCCACAGCACTTTCAAGACATTTCTGGAATTTTTCATTTTTCTGATTGGCTTCAGTTCAAGATAAACTTCTTGAAGATAAGCATCCAGTTCCGTAAGAATCACTTTTGTTGCTTGCATGGCACTTCTGTCCAAACTCATGTCTCTGGCTTCGCTGTTCATTTCTTGAACTTTTTCTATTATACTCTGAAGGTGGAGAAACTTAGTGCAATTTTGTTTTAAATTTTAGTACGTCTATCTCTTCTTCGAGGATTCCAACAATGTAGAACGAAAATGACACTTTATTCGTTGCCGACCAATCTTCTTGAGTTTCGAAAACCTCTCTACTCACTCTGAATAAATTTTTTCAGACGATTTTTTAGAGAAAACTTACAAAACAAGTTTTTGAACGACTTTTTTGAAACTGACACAAATTGGCTCCACTTTGTTCTCCGGACTGTAGTTTGTCATGTATTGTGATTTCCTAGAAAAGATTTTGATCAATTTTCTCCCAAGAACATTTACTTTGTAATTTCATGAGCCAAAATGGTCGAGAATAAATCCAACAAATACAAGTATGTCTTACGAGTCCATTCACTGATTTCTTCTTTGTACAAAAATTGGAGAAGAGATATATGGTCAAGAGCTTTTTCCAATCTCGCTGCTAAAATCTTGAAATCCTTAATTATCCTCCATCTCTATTGGCCCACCTGTCACTCTTATATCAGGGAATGAACCGAGAAACTCTATATCAAAAAATGATAACTGTATCAAAAGTTTCGTCCTCTCTCCCATATCAGGTTGAAAACAGAAAGTTTGAATTGTCTGTGACAAGATCAAGGTTATTGATCTTGCGTCCGAATCGATGTTACGTATTCGACCATTGAGGTTGAAATTTCTTGCAATGTTTTCCAAAATGAATCTTGAGAAAAATAATTATTGATAGTATGAATTCAGAGACTTTTTCCACATGTATACCTCTCAAAAACCAATTCCTTTGACATCTTTCTATCTTCAATCTCGTTGATAAGCAATAACAAATCAATCTTCATTGCAAACGATGTTTTATCATAGAAAACCGTATCCAAACATGATAACGCTGCCTGAATCAAACAGATTAGTATGAAAATGTTCTATAAATCCGTTCACCTTCAATAACTTCCGGTTCTTCATGAACCCAACATGATATAATTCGTCGAATTTGGCCTCCACATTTGGAACTCGACTTTTCGGAATGACGAACATAAATTGTTCGTGGGGAGGGATATCAAGATGGGTCCACCACTCAAAAATCATATCGACTGTCTAAAAAAAATGGAATTGTGATTCAAAAAATGGAAAACGTCAACTAACAGCATCTACAACGGGTGGTGGTGGCTCAACAATCACTGGGACGTTTTTCTCCTTCTTCTTCAACTTCAAAGCTTTCTTTGATCCTAAATTATGTTTTGAATTTCTATATACACTGCTTATCAACCTTTAGTTTTATTTTTCTTCTTTTTCAAAGCTTTCAATTTCCCTTTCTTCTTCATTTTCTTCTTGGCGGTTTTTGTTTCCTCCGGAACTGGTAAAGGTATTGGCTCTGCTGCTATCTGCAAGTTACTGATTCTCAAAAATTTGATCAGATTCTGGAAATAATACCGCAGAGAAGTCCAGAACTACTGGTTTAGTAGCAGTCACAAACAAGCACATGGTCTGTGCCATATCGGTAACAAGCTGGATAAGCGGAGCAACATCTCCTTCTACTAAACTCTTGGCAGAGCTATCTTCACAATTAGTAAACTCCACGAGGTGTCGGTATATCCATTGTTGAGCTAGAAATTTGGTTGAAAGTAAATCATCAAAAGATTAAAGATACCAGTTTCTTCTTTATTTTCCAAATCTTCATTGTCGCTGTGCGAGGAACTACTAGAGCTTAAATCCATGAGTAGGCAAAGGAGAGAAATCGGAAAATGTTTGGGAGAAGCAAAACGAAAATGTATGGAAGTGTCAAGTCAACCGAGAAGGAATTATTAGTGGTCTTGATGATGTTTCAAGGTGTCGCTGGAGGAAAGTGGTGAAGAAAGGTGAAAAATTTTAAAAAGAAATGAACAGGGGAAAAACAGGGTAGACGAGAAAGGTTTCAATATTTCCCAGAAAATGAGCTTATATTGTGTGCCACAATAAAGAAGGAACCTTTTTTCAGGACTATTCGGTAAAATCAGGAAGTTGATACCATACTTGTAACAGGAAGGGTCGAGGTATTTTTCAGAGTTTTCACTACGCGAGTTTCCTGGTATTTTTCGCATAGTTGCAAAATCTCGGGTCGGCCCGTCGAGAATTTTGGCGGGCCGGCCCGGGGAACGTACAGACGCTGAATTTTTTGAATTTTTTTCGAAATTTTTTCAAAAATTTTAAGAAAAAATACCTATTTTTGACTACATTCTACTCTGTTGATTCTGTTAAATAATGTAACACTTTTCCTTTTTTAATTGAAAAAATTACCCAACTTTACATT